AACATTTATATTGACGATTAGTTCTTTGTGTATAGCCTATATGAGCTATTACACAACCCATACACTGATCTTTTTTTTTATTATGATATAGACTTTTAAGTTCCCAGTAATATTCAGAGCCCGATTAAAGAGGTATAAGCAATGTTTTAACTATGGTATGAAATTTTTTATTCTCTACATACTGATTAAGTTCTAAGCTTAAATTTTCTTCATTAACTAATTCATCTTCAATTTTTACTATTATAGTAAACTCAATATGATCTTTAAATTTAATAGCTACAAACTCTTCGAGGTCACATATATTATAAATAATCTTATTCTCGTTCTTATTGCTTTTAATACTATCAGAATTAGAAGACATTATTCTATTCGATGAAATGGGTAGCATGTTTTTATGACTTAAGAAGAGAAATAGTATATCTTTATAATTCAAAGTGAGAAATAGTGTATCTTCATGACTTAAAGGAAAAGATGATATATCTTCTTGACTTAAGAGAAAAGATGATGTATTTTCGTGATTCAAGATAAGAGATAGTGTATTTTCATGACTCAAAGAAAGAAATAGTTTATTTTCATGACTCAAAGAAAGGGATGGGGTATCTTCATAACTCGAAGAAAAGAATGGTAAATTATCTTTGCTAGATAACTTTGTTTTGAGCTATTTATCTCTTTTACTTTGTCTTTCATGTTCTGTGCAGGGATTGCATCTACTAAATTCTTGTATTTTAGTTCCTCTTTGACTTATAAATTCATTAGTTGGTTTGACTTTGTTATAGCACGAGCATTGTTTAGTAGAAACGTGTGTTGCAATATTTGAAGTAGACATTTTTAAAAAAAACTTTAAATAATAAACTAATTAAATATCGAATCAAATTTTTTTTAATAAAACACATTATATTTTTCTTATATATAAATAAATGGCAAATTTAATTTAAAAAGTAGAATAGTTCTTATTTTAATAATGATAAATTAATTATACAAAATTCGCCTTAAATTTATATTTGTTATATATCTGTTTATTAGAATTCGAAATATGCAAATTTAATCTCGCTATATCAAATTTTAAATTTTATTTTCTTTTTATCTCTTAAGATACAGTAAATATACTAGTTTTTTTTTATAATTATTATATTAATTTTTAAAGCGAAAGGACATTCAAATTTCTCTATATTAAATTTACTAATATAAACTGTTATATTAATTTGTATATATAACTTATTAATATATAAAATCTCTATATTGATTTTCGAAGCAAAAGTTATTTTTTTATATTAAATTTACTAATATAAACTGTTATATTAATTTGCATATATAACTTATCAATATATAAAATCTCTATATTGATTTTTGAAGCAAAAGTATATTCGAATTTCTCTATATTAAATTTACTAATATAAACCGTTATATTAATTTGCATATATAACATATCAATATATAAAATCTCTATATTGATTTAATATAACTTTAATACTATCACTCTTTAATCAGTATTAATTTTGGACTATCAAAAGGGCCAGAAAAGGTCGGAGATCATGTCATCGCGACTTTTTTCTGCTATGACTAACTCACCTAAAATTTTTCGGTATGTGACTAACATTGGGAAATTTTATAGACAGATATATATCGATTACTAACCAATATGGATATATATCGATACTAATCACCCTGCCGATTTCTATCGATTGTGATTACAATCGATATGTTGCGGGTTGGTTAGTAATCGATATATATCTACTTTGGCTAGTAATCGATATATATCCACTTTGGCTAGTAATCGATATATATTTACTTTGGCTAGTAATTGATATATATTCAAGTTAGCTATATATCAAATATAATCTATATAAATCGAATTTAATCAATA